CAAGCCTGGAAAAAACGCACTACCCTCCCTGTGCCCAATAAAAAACCACACAACCCTCCCTAAAGCAAATATTGGACCTCCCCTTCCCCCCAGAATTTTTCGAACGGTCCTTAAGTCGCTTTGGATAAAAGTGTTTGCTAAATGGCATTTCTATTATATATATATATATATATATATACAGTGAGGGAAAAAAGTATTTGATCCCCTGCTGATTTTGTACGTTTGCCCACTGACAAAGACATGATCAGTCTATAATTTTAATGGTAGGTTTATTTGAACAGTGAGACACAGAATAACAACAAAAAAATCCAGAAAAACGCATGTCAAAAATGTTATAAATTGATTTGCATTTTAATGAGGGAAATAAGTATTTGACCCCTCTGCAAAACTTGGTGGCAAAACCCTTGTTGGCTATCACAGAGGTCAGACATTTCTTGTAGTTGGCCACCAGGTTTGCACACATCTCAGGAGGGATTTTGTTCCACTCCTCTTTGCAGACCTTCTCCAAGTCATTATGATTTCGAGGCTGACGTTTGGCAACTCGAACCATCAGCTCCCTCCACAGATTTTCTATGGGATTAAGGTCTGGAGACTGGCTAGGCCACTCCAGGACCTTAATGTGCTTCTTCTTGAGCCACTCCTTTGTTGCCTTGGCCGTGTGTTTTGGGTCATTGTCATGCTGGAATACCCATCCACGACCCATTTTCAATGCCCTGGCTGAGGGAAGGAGGTTCTCACCCAAAATTTGACGGTACATGGCCCCGTCCATCGTCCCTTTGATGCGGTGAAGTTGTCCTGTCCCCTTAGCAGAAAAACACCCCCAAAGCATAATGTTTCCACCTCCATGTTTGACAGTGGGGATGGTGTTCTTGGGGTCATAGGCAGCATTCCTCCTCCTCCAAACACGGCAAGTTGAGTTGATGCCAAAGAGCTCGATTTTGGTCTCATCTGACCACAACACTTTCACCCAGTTCTCCTCAGAATCATTCCGATGTTCATTGGTAAACTTCAGACGGCCCTTTATATGTGCTTTCTTGAGCAGGGGGACCTTGCGGGCGCTGCAGGATTTCAGTCCTTCACAGCGTAGTGTGTTACCAATTGTTTTCTTGGTGACTATGGTCCCAGCTGCCTTGAGATCATTGACAAGATCCTCCCGTGTAGTTCTGGGCTGATTCCTCACCGTTCTCATGATCATTGCAACTCCACGAGGTGAGATCTTGCATGGAGCCCCAGGCCGAGGGAGATTGACAGCTATTTTGTGTTTCTTCCATTTGCGAATATTCGCACCAACTTTTGTCACCTTCTCACCAAGCTGTTTGGCAATGGTCTTGTAGCCCATTCCAGCCTTGTGTAGGTCTACAATCTTGTCCCTGACATCCTTGGAGAGCTCTTTGGTCTTGGCCATGGTAGAGAGTTTGGAATCTGATTGATTGATTGCTTCTGTGGACAGGTGTCTTTTATTCAGGTAACAAACTGAGATAAGGAGCACTCCCTTTAAGAGTGTGCTCCTAATCTCAGCTCGTTACCTGTATAAAAGACACCTGGGAGCCAGAAATCTTTCTGATTGAGAGGGGATCAAATAATTATTTCCCTCATTAAATGCAAATCAATTTATAACATTTTTGACATGCGTTTTCCTGGATTTTTTTGTTGTTATTCTGTCTCTCACTGTTCAAATAAACCTACCATTAAAATTATAGACTGATCCTTTCTTTGTCAGTGGGCAAACGTACAAGATCAGCAGGGTATCAAATAATTTTTTCCCTCACTGTATAATATATATATATATATATATATATATAACATATACATCTATATTATATATATATATATATATATATATATATATATACAGTGGGGCAAAAAAGTATTTAGTCAGCCACCAATTGTGCAAGTTCTCCCACTTAAAAAGATGAGAGAGGCCTGTAATTTTCATCATAGGTACACGTCAACTATGACAGACAAATTGAGAAAAAAAAATCCAGAAAATCCCATTGTAGGATTTTTAATGAATTTATTTGCAAATTATGGTGGAAAATAAGTATTTGGTCACCTACAAAAAAGCAAGATTTCTGGCTCTCACAGACCTGTAACTTCTTCTTTAAGAGGCTCCTCTGTCCTCCACTCGTTACCTGTATTAATGGCACCTGTTTGAACTTGTTATCAGTATAAAAGACACCTGTCCACAACCTCAAACAGTCACACTCCAAACTTCACAATGGCCAAGACCAAAGAGCTGTCAAAGGACACCAAAAACAAAATTGTAGACCTGCACCAGGCTGGGAAGACTGAATCTGCAACAGGTAAGCAGCTTGGTTTGAAGAAATCAACTGTGGGAGCAATTATTAGGAAATGGAAGACATACAAGACCACTGATAATCTCCCTCGATCTGGGGCTCCATGCAAGATCTCACCCCGTGGGGTCAAAATGATCACAAGAACGGTGAGCAAAAATCGCAGAACCACACGGGGGACCTAGTGAATGACCTGCTGAGAGCTGGGACCAAAAACAAAGCCAACCATCAGTAACACACTACGCCGCCAGGGACTCAAATCCTGCAGTGCGAGACGTGTCCCCCTGCTTAAGCCAGTACATGTCCAGGCCCGTCTGAAGTGCATTTGGATGATCCAGAAGAGGATTGGGAGAATGTCATATGGTCAGATGAAACCAAAATATAACTTTTTGGTAAAAACTCAACTCGTCATGTTTGGAGGACAAAGAATGCTGAGTTTTATCCAAAGAACACCATACCTACTGTGAAGCATGGGGTTGGAAACATCATGCTTTGGGGCTGTTTTTCTGCAAAGGGACCAGGACGACTGATCCGTGTAAAGGAAAGAATGAATGGGGCCATGTATCGTGAGATTTTGAGTGAAACCCTCCTTCCATCAGCAAGGGCATTGAAGATGAAACGTGGCTGGGTCTTTCAGCATGACAATGATCCCAAACACACCGCCCGGGCAACGAAGGAGTGGCTTCGTAAGAAGCATTTCAAGGTCCTGGAGTGGCCTAGCCAGTCTCCAGATCTCAACCCCATAGAAAATATTTGGAGGGAGTTGAAAGTCTGTGTTGCCCAGTGACAGCCCCAAAACATCACTGCTCTAGAGGAGATCTGCATGGAGGATTGGGCCAAAATACCAGCAACAGTGTGTGAAAACCTTGTGAAGACTTACAGAAAACGTTTGACCTGTGTCATTGCCAACAAAGGGTATATAACAAAGTATTGAGAAACTTTTGTTATTGACCAAATACTTATTTTCCACCATAATTTGCCAAACAATTCATTAAAAATCCTACAATGTGATTTTCTGGATTTTTTTTCTAATTTTGTCTGTCATAGTTGACGTGTACCTATGATGAAAATTACAGGTTCGATCTAGGAGTTCCATAATCTTATATATATATTTGATATACTCAACACTGAAGAGTTTATATATTATGTAGAGTAAAATTAATATCAATTCGTCATCGAAGAGCCTTTTATTAATTTCTTCATGTAATTTCTCTGTTTCTAAGACTGTTGAAATGTACATTTATGATATCCACATTAAAGTATGTCTTTTACACCTTCTTTGAATGGTAGCCCATTGAGTAGTAACTATGGAATGAAACAAGTTATGCAACATGTCAAATGTGTAATTTCCATCAGCCACAGATTTCTTGCACAGTTATTGCCCCATTAACCTGGAACTCTTTGTAAAAATAAACTTGAAACTTGACTATTTCATTACATTTGTGGATTTAAATCTCTGGTCGAATTACTGTTGGCTTGTAAATACTACTATTTTATATTCCTTTTAAATAAAAAATAAATAAAAAAGAGAAATAAAGACAAATATTGCAAGGGGCTAGTCGCTGGATTATATATCTGCATGCATTTAAAGGAATCAGAGGATGTTGCCCTCCTTGTGAAGCTTGATATATCTCACCGGTAAATGTGAGTTTTAAAAAAATCTGATGATCATTTGCTATTACAGAGGAAGGCTAGCGCTTGGGAGTTGACGCTTATTCAGTGAAGGATTATTCCGTGTCTTGCAAACAGCAGCGCCACTTCTGACTGTCTACAGTAACAGGCAGCTAGACAACAGAACACCACTTCAGGTGTCATTTATAAAGTCTGAAGTGTGCATTGGATTTCAACAGATGACCAACGCCTGAATACTGGTAAGAGGTCGCTGGCACTATTTCTGTTTGTACTATTTCTGTTATGTTTAATTAATTCGACTGTCACGGTTTTGCAATGTGGAGTGCAACATTTTAAAGTTTATGTTCATGTGTCCCCACGTGTTGATATTTTCGGATTGTGTTGGATTTGGGAACACATTTCTGATATTGATTGCATCTAATTAAAATCGAATTCTAGATATTGTCAAGGTCAACTAGGCTACATTTCCTTTAGTGTGTCAGGTGTAGGCTGCATCTACATTTGCACAAATATCAACCTAATCAGGTCATAGCTCTTTACACTTAATTAATTTTTATGGGTCTGTATTTTCAATGGAAATGGAATCTACACCTGTTTGACTTTATTATGCTTAATTTAGGTATTTAGACCTACTCAGAATCAACACAGCTTCATTGGCTTTAGAGTATAATTGAATAATTTTGTATTCTATATTTATTATGTGAGAAATATGTTCATATTACTATGATTCAAATCTAATTCTGATACAAATTATTGTAGTGTAGCCAACAGGTCAAAGAAAAAAGCAAGAAAACTCCCAGTCTTGTGGTGAATAGGGTCAATGTGGTTTCGGTTCCCTACAATCAAAGTCTGTGTGGAATCATTCTATTAATGACATATCAAAACTAACATTTTTTATATGTTTAACTTTAATTAAAATGTATTTTCACTGTTGGTTTTATCAACAACAAAAAATTAAGACAAAGTAATGAAGTGTGTGTGCTTCCTCTGTATTGAATGTGTATGTCTGTCTGTCTGTCCAGACAGTGTTTCATATCAGGTGAGCTCAGCTGGCCCTTTCTGATACAGAGAATCATGTATATGACAGGAGCTGAAAGATTCATCCTCATTGGTTTTCTGCTACAAGGTGGGTTGCTGTGGGAAAGGCTGGGTCTGATGCACTGCTTTCTTGCATCTCCCATTGCACTTTACCATTTATATTTTATTTAGCTGTAGCTAGGTTTCCATCCAATTGGCAACAGATTTTCATGTGAATTTTCTAAAATCCGCATAAAGAAAATATCTATTGAAATGTGATGGAAACACTATGAACTATTGATTTTTATTTGGGACATAATACTTAAGTGGAAAAGTACATTTTGTGTGCACTATGTCATCATGCACAGATTTTTACCCGTTTGGTGGAAACACACCACTGGTGGGAAAATGTGCATATTTTCTTTATCGGATTTTTGAATATTCGCATGAAAAGCTGTCGCCAATTGGATGGAAACCTAGCTACTGCTGTCATGATTTTATTTTATACGGTATGACTTTACTAGCATAAAAACTGTGGATGGAAACGTGGTTAGTGTTCTGATCCTTCTTAAAAGCCCAGTGCAGTCAAAATTTAGTTTTCCTGTGTTTTGTATCATATTTATACAACAGCTGATGAAACTAACTGTAAAAATGACCATTCCAAACCTCTCTGCCAATAACAGCTAGGTTTAAGGTGACATATCCCTCGTCTGCTCAGGTGGATTGATCCACACTGTGGTTAATGCACCGTTTTTGTGCCCTTCCCTAACTAAATTCTTGCCTGATATTATTTTTTTTTTTTTACCATTTTAATGGAAACCTATTACAGTAAGTTACTTTATTGTTACCCAGAAATAATTTGATATTGAGATAAAACGGCTGCACTGGGCCTTTAAAGGGATAGTTCAAACAATCAATTTCTACTAGCATTGCTACATCCCCCCAAAATGCTAGCCAGATTATTCTGCACATCTGTAAATAACTAGCCAACAAATGTTTTAATGGTTTGGAGGAAACAACAACACCCTAGTGAAGCTGAAAATAACCAACATTTCAAAAAGTTAAACCATCCTTTAAAGTTAGTCATTGATTTAAAGATGTATGTGATTCCTGCATTCCTTCATTACCAGCTAACACCCCAGTCTAATATTTTGTTGTATGTGTTTCAGGTGTTCTGTGCCTAGACTTTGCAGCTCTGATGCCTCCGCATATAGAGTCTCTGAGTGGATCTTGTGTGGCCATTCCCTGCTCATTTACACTGGGATCTGGATATGAGTCGTCCCTCACAGCTTCATGTAAAGGAATATGGAGGAAAGGATGGAGAGGAGTACACGTGTTTGATTCTAGTCTCACAGGGTCAGGCTTAAATACCATTCAAGGGAATCTAACTGGGAACTTGCAGCAGAAGGAATGCACCACAATCCTGAATGACTTCACATCTTATTTCCAATGACTACTTTTACTTCAGACTTGAATGTGACGCTCTGAAATTTAATTTTCCAGGACGTGTCACGATTGATGTAAAAGGTAGAGTATCATTAGAATATGCTACTTCTGTGTTGTGTGTGCTGTGTTGTGTTCATTTAAGTTGCAGGTTTGAACTGGCTGTATTTAATGCACTGATCATGTAATAAACATACTTTTTTTTACTCCCTCAGAATATCCATCCAAACCCACTCTGAGCCCAGCAACAGTGTATGTGATGGAGGGGACCTCAGTGAGTTTGATCTGCTCTGCTGCAGCCCCATGTCCCTCACTCCCCCCAACTCTGACCTGGACCCCCACACTGAGTGACAGTGTGGAGGATTTGCAGGAGACTCCGAATCAAGTCATAACTTCTCTCCTGAACTTCACCGCTTCACATGTCCACCATGGAGAGAAGATCTTCTGCACTGCGTTGTACAAACGACAAGCTGGCAAGAGTGATAAATCATCCAAAACGTATCTGACAGTCACTGTTCTTTGTAAGTTGATTCATGCATGGTAAGTTTGATTCATGCATTGTAAGTTAATTATTTCTATAGAATTGGTCAACTTTGTGTGCACTCTCCCCCAGACTCTCCCAAGAACACCTCAGTGTCAGTCAGTCCCTCTGGTTCAGTGGTAGAGGGCAACTCTGTGACTCTGACCTGCAGCAGCAATGCCTACCCAGCAGTGGGGCGCTACAACTGGTACAGAGTTGTTGGAGAACAGGTCACAACAGTGGGGGCTAGAAGAATGCTATCTGTCCAGGTACCAGCAGATGACAGTTATTTCTACTGTGAAGCCAGCAATGACCATGGAACCGAGAACTCATCTGTCATTCAACTAGATGGGATGTGTATGTACAAAATGAAACCAAATATGAACAATATTTTCAACTATAGCTAGTATCATAACACACACTAAATTGACTCTTGACATACAATATCTATTGTTTCTTTCCCCCAGACCCTCCCAAGAACACCTCAGTGTCAGTCAGTCCCTCTGGTTCAGTGGTAGAGGGCAGCTCTGTGACTCTGACCTGCAACAGCAATGCCAATCCAGCAGTGAATAACTATACCTGGTACAAAATCAATGGGACTGAGGCTGTCATTTTAGGATCTGGAGAGAGCTTTACCTTAGACAGTAAAGCAAGTGATAGTGGGGAGTACTGCTGTGAAGCACTGCATGCACTTGGTACGGAAAAAGCCACAGTTGTTCAGCTGGATATTCAGTGTAAGTTATATACATGATACTTTTGCAATGGTATGATAATAATAATAAATAATATAATAATAACCCGTCGCTAGTACTTTTCAGACTGGGCTAGTGGAAAATGTGCCCGACTAGCCTGTCAGCTAGTGACATTTTGTATTTTCAGGGATGGAACTTAAGGATTTTGGGTACTGGCCAGCCAGGATAGTAGACTGCAATTTTTACTAGCCTGGGTCCAAAATATGTGCCATGCAATATTTGAAAATACAAAATGTCACTAGCTGACAGGCTAGTCGGGCACATTTTCCACTAGCCCAGTCTGAAAAGTACTAGCGACGGGTTAGCAGGCTAGTTTAATTTCCATCCCTGGGTATAATACAGTATAGCTCCTAGTGTAGGAACAGAAACAGAAACATCAAGATGCTGCCAACACTTTACCATAAGGCTACATTAATTGGCATCAAATAATGTATTGCTAAATTGTGTCAATGCATTTGTTAAACATTTACTAATGGTAAAGGAACATGTCATATCTTAGCCATCATTTTGAAATGGTACATGTAGAACCTTTCACTAATATAGTTGATGCTAATCCATAACCTTATTGTAAAGTGTTACGAAGATGCTGTGTTACCAAGATGCCATAAACAGTCTATTTATGACTGGTTGAATATAACTCTGTGTTGAGGCACACACATCCAGCTGCTGTGACCAGCCACACCTGGTGTGTGGCCAACGTCTGAGTCATGGGTTCACGCCAGTGCCCAGACTGTCTGGTCCAATGACAGCGAACCATTGTCCTGTTGCGTGACAACCATGAATCTTTACTGTGTGTGTGTGTGTCAATGGCCCTCCATCACTGAAGCCTGTTGTGCAGTTTGTATGGCAGTGTGAATATGTTTATGCATGGCTGTTTGTTCTGTATTGCCATTGGCATTTCCTAGTCAAGATTTCTACAAATCAACCCCCCTACCCCCCACCCCCCCAGGTACAGATTATGTTTTATCTCAACTGAAGGGTTACCAAAGACAAACCCAGAAAGCAAAATTATTATGGCCCATATCAGGCCCACATTTACAATCCGCCAGCGTGTTTATGTGGCCTAGTTAACACTTGGAATTATGGTCCAAAAGTGGGCCAGGTTTGATTGCCATAACTAAGCCAGATCATTGCCATTAAAAAGCCAGACCTAGCCTATCAAGGTAGATGCGGCCCACTTCTGGTGTAATTCAAAGTGGTAACTGGGCCACATCCACATGCCGACCCAGGTCTGGCCCTTATTGTGGAGAGGATCTGGCTTATGTATGGCAAATGAATCTGGCCAACAGCTGGCTTTATTGTATAGAATTACAGATATGTCGTATGGGAAGTATGGATAGACTAACACCACTGTTGAGAAGTGCATAATGCTCAATAATGTTTTATGATAACACAGCACTGTTTTCTTCCAGATCCCCCCAAGAACACCTCAGTGTCAGTCAGTCCCTCTAGCTCAGTAGCAGAGGGCAGCTCTGTGACTCTGACTTGCAGCAGCAATGCCAATCCAGCAGTGAATAACTACACCTGGTACAGAGTTGAGGGATGGGAGAAGGACATTGTAGGGTCTGAAGAGGACCTCAACATCTTCAATGTGACCAGGCTTTCAAATGAACAGTACTACTGTGAGGCTCAGAATGTCCATGGACTGCAGAACTCTGAAGCCATCAGTATCGATGTAACATGTATGTACTGTATAGTATTTATTCTACTGGTTATGAATCGCAATCACTCATTAATGTGAATGAACTATTAAGAACAATCGTGTCCTCCCTGTCTGTTCGATTTAGTTGCTTCAGAGATCCTGAACACCTCTCGCTGCATCAGGATTTCAGCTACATCTCAGATCAGATGTTCCTGTGATAGCCATGGAAACCCTGCTCCCACACTGGTGTGGCAATTGGCTGGAGAGTCTGTCAATCACTCCACTAACACCATCATCAGGGAGGAGCCAATGGGTAGAGCAGGCCTGAGGACCTCCCTCACCATCCGCCAATCACAGGAGGAGGAAATACCGAGTCTGGTCTGCCTCAGCACCAACTCTGATGGTTTTGACAGCTTCTCATTTAACTTAACATCAATGAAAACATATGAAGGTACAGTTAGGAGACATTTGTCCTGCTCTACACCAGAATTAGTTCCTAACAGTTCCCCGGTCCCACTAACCATTCAGGAGCTTGGGACTATAAGGTTCTATCTGTATTTTTGTCAAAATTGAGTTATTGACATAGCCTTGTTCTGTTCAATGTTCTCTATGTATATAGTAAAAATACCCATATTCATGTTGTTAAGTTCAAAATAATACAAGATAGAAATTGCTGACACCATTCAAACCAATGAGGGTTCGGAACTTTAAAGCCAATTATCTCAGAATCATCTTTTTGCAGGTATAACCCTTACAGTCCTAAGCTCTCACATTGCCAAATAAGAATATTTTTAAGACAAAGAATGAATGGTGGCGCTTGTTTTGCACCTCATCTGTTTGCTCTATGTTGTGATTGTGCAGGTTTCCACCCTCTCTCTCTGTTGATTGGGGCTGCTGTGGGGGCAGGAGTGATGATGCTCCTATGTATCCCACTGCTTCTCATCTGCAAGTAAGTGACTGACACAGGGGCCAGGGCAGGCATGATAATGTAAAAGACCTTTGGATAGATTTTTGTCTGGATTGGTCCGACTTTTGTCTGGACTGGTATTTGACGTCATTATCTTATCATCTCTGTTGTTTTGCTCTAAGGCATAGGAGAACCAGACAGTCACCAAACAAAACACAGAAGGACACATCAGAATTCATAGTGACTGATGAGGTAAGGAACTACACTAACATTTCGACATTGCCCATGTGTATGTGCTTACAGTCTAACAATGTGGAAAGGCGTTGATATTCATCTTTCACAGAAGTGTGTGCATGAACACCCTATTACATACAGTGCCTTCGGAAAGTATTCAGACCCCTTTACTTTTTCCACATTTTGTCACGTTACAGCCTTATTCTAAAATTGATTAAACAATAATATTAATCTGCAATCTACACACAGTACCCCATAATGACAAAGTAGAAACAGAAATACCTTATTTCCATAAGTATTCAGACCCTTTGCTATGAGACTCGAAATTGAGCTCAGGTGCATCCTGTTTCCATTGATCATCCTTGAGATGTTTCTACAACTTCATTGGAGTCCACCTGTGGTAAATTATATTGATTGGACATGATTTGGAAAGGCACACACCTGTCTATATAAGGTCCCACAGTTGATAGTGCATGTCAACGCAAAAACCAAGCCATGAGGTCGAAGCAACTGTCTGTAGAGCTCCGAGACAGGATTGTGTCGAGGAACAGATCTGGGGAAGGGTACCAAAAAATGTCTGCAGCATTGAAAGTCCCCAAGAACACAATGGCTTCCATCATTCTTAAATGGAAGAAGTTTGGAACCACCAATACTCTTCCTAGAGCTGGCTGCCCATCATTCTTAAATGGAAGAAGTTTGGAACCACCAAGACTCTTCCTAGAGCTGGCTGCCCGGCCAAACTGAGCAATCGGGGGAGAAGGGCCTTGGTCAGGGAGGTGACCAAGAACCCGATGGTCACTCTGACAGAGCTATAGAGTTCCTCTGTGGAGATGAGAGAACCTTCCAGAAGGACAACCATCTCTGCAGCACAGAAGGACACCAATCAGGCCTTTATGGTAGAGTGGCCAGACGGAAGCCACTCCTCAGTAAAAGGCTTGGAGTTTGCCAAAAGGCTGAGTAAAGTACTGAGTAAAGGGTCTGAATACCTATATAAATGTGATATTTCAGTTTTCTTTTTTTCATAAATTTGCAAAACTGTGTCAAAAACCTGTTTTTGCTTTGTCATTAAGGGGTATTGTGTGTAGATTGATGAGGATATAAAAAAAAAATCAATTTTAGAATAAGGCTGTAATGTAACAACATTTGGAAAAAGTGAAGGGATCTGAATGCTTTCCGAATGCACTGTATCCTAGATGCCGCACACATTTCAGCACTGGTATTTTTGTTGCAGTGAAAGATTGGAGGTAGCTTGGCTGGTTGAAAAATTGTTTTTGAATATGCAAAAATCTGCAGTGTGCATGAAGAGGAACTCAAGTCAGTTTAGGCTAGAGTGGTACATTACTGTAATCGAGTCTTTTGCAACCATATTGTCTGGATCTCATGTTAAACATCCAACTTACAACTAGCCCTTTCCTATCCAGTGGTTGATTTGCTCATATGATTATTTTGCATTGTGTTTTGTGTGGATACCAGGAAGTTACAGCTAATAGGAGACACATAAAAACAATTCTGCCAGTAAACATATAAACCCCTTTAACATGATGCTTTCCCCTCAGACCCTCTCTCAGGAGGAGGACAATGTCTATGCCAATAAAGCCATGCTGGAGGAGGCCCTGGGGCCCAACAGGACAGTGGACAGGGAAATTGACGACACAGACCTCCTCCACTACGGCAACTTGAACTTGTCCAAACTCCAGGCCAAGGTGGCCGAGCAGGGGGAGGGAGAGATCAGGGGAGTCGCCTCCAAGACGGCAGAGTATGCCATGATCCGCCTGCACTCCACAGGTAGTAACGAGGGAGGGGCTGGGAAGAAGGAGGCCAATTCTGCTCTGGAGCAGGGGGATCACGCTGAAGAGCATGGAGCTAAAGTCTTAGAAGAAACCCAGGCAGGGCACAAGAGTGATGGGGAAGAAGAAGTTGCAAAGTATTCTGGGCAGCCAGAGCTACAGGGCGTGACTAGTTCTGCCTTCAGTGTCCAGGAGTCCCAACTGGGACAATCTGAGCAGCACAACACAGTAGAAACTCCAGTGGACGAGGTGACACTGCTTTCTGAGCAGAAAGATTCCTCTAATGGTGAAGAGGAGGTAACGTATGGGAACATATGTCGTGGTCAGGTTGTATCTGAGGCAAATTAGGGACAACCTGAGTCAGATAGGAAGGACGAGGAAGAGGAGGAGGAGGAGAGTGTGAAGGCATAGTAAGCTGCTGTATAGAGGGAGTAAAGCTTATATGCAGATAAGCTAGTACAAGGTTGTGAAAAATCCCCCATAATGCACTGCAGAGACATCATCGTCATCTTCCATACTGAAGAACCACTATGTCCACCTTTTTTTAAACACCAGTTATTCTACAGTGTCTGTTCATCAGTTGGATTTTCATTTCTATATACACAATATATACAAAGGTATGTGGACACCCCTTCAAATTAGTGGATTTGGCTATTTCAGCTACACCCGTTGCTGACAGGTGTATAAAATCATTGGCAGTAGAATGGCCTGCTAGAGCTACCCCAGTCAACTGTAAGTGCTGTTATTGTGAAGTGGAAAAGTCTAGGAGCAACAACGGCTCAGCCGCAAAGTGGTAGGCCGCAAAAGAGCGTAGCGTGTAAAAATCGTCTGTCCTCGGTTGCAACACTCACTACTGAGTTCCAAACTGCCTCTGGAAGCAATGTCAGCACAAGAACTGTTCGTCGGGAGCTTCATGAAATGGGTTTCCATAGCCGAGCAGCAGCACACAAGCCTAAGATCACCATGCACAATGCCAAGCGTCGCCTGGAGTGGTGTAAAGCTCGCCGCCATTGGACTCTGGAGCAGTGGAAACGCGTTCTCTGGAGTGATGAATCACGCTTCACCATCTGGCAGTCCGACGGACAAATCTGGTTTTGGCGGATGCCAGAAGAACGCTACCTGCCCGAATGCATAGTGCCAACTGTAAAGTTTGGTGGAGGAGGAATAATGGTCTGGGGCTGTTTTTCATGGTTCGGGCTAGGCCCGTTAGTTCCAGTGATGGGAAATCTTAATGCTACAGCATACAATGACATTCTAGATGATTATGTGCTTCCATCTTTGTGGCAACAGTTTGGGGAAGGCCTTTTCCTGTTTCAGCATGACAATGCCCCCGTGCACAAAGTGAGGTCCATACAGAAATGGTTTGTCGAGATCGGTGTGGAAGATCTTGACTGGCCTGTACAGAGCCATGACCTCAACCCCATCTAACACCTTTGGGATGAATTGGAACGCTGACTGTGAGACAGGCCTAATCGCCCAACATCAGTGCCCAACCTCACTAATGCTCTTGTGGCTGAATGGAAACAAGTCTCCGCAGCAATGTTCCAACATCTAGTGGAAAGTCTGTTATAGAGTGGAGTCTGTTATAGCAGCAAAGGGGTTGACCAACTCCATATTAATGCCCATGATTTTGGAATGAGATGTTCAATGAGCAGGTGTCCACATACTTTTGGTAATGTAGTGTATTTTCCAGAGACTGAGTTTTAGTATCTGCATACTTGTATAATTGAAACAAGTTTTTAACTTCACTAAATGTTTTTAAAGAACTTGTGTTATTTACAGTTGCTAGTGAAAGTCTGCACATCCCTTGCATAGTCAATGTATGCACTCACTAACTGTAAGTCGCTCTGGATAAGAGCGTCTGCTAAATGACTAAAATGTAAATGTAATAGTCTCCCATTTTGCTTGCTTAAAATTAATCCAATAACGGAATACATTAGATTTTGTCCTGCTGAGCTACACAACCAACTGCACATTTTCAAAGTGAAAGAACAATTATATATATATTTTTTCCAAATTAATAAAACATAAAATCAAAGATGTCTTGATTGCTTATGTCTTCATACCCCAGAGGTAATATTTGGTGGAAGGACCTTTGGCCGCCATTACAGCTGTGAATCATTTTGAATAAGATTCTACTAACTTTGCACAACTCTTAGATTAACACATACCCATTTTTGTCAAAATAGCTCAAGCTCAGGAAATTTGGTTGGGGAGTCATTGATGAACAGCAAAATTCAAACCTTGTCTCTGATTTTCAAGCAGATTTAAGTCAGTACAAGCCACAATACTTGAAAATACAGAGGGTTTCACTGTGTTTTGTTTAGTACTGGATTTGGCCTGTGGTTTTTAATTTAGGTCAAAAAATGTATTTCTTTGCTGTGTTGTCTTGCAGTATTAATTAACAGCCTTGTTGCAAACAGAATGGATGATTTGGAGTGGATTTTTTAACACAGGCTTTCTTCTTTTCACTTTGTCATAATGTGGAGTGAATGCAATGTTGTTGATCCTCCTGTTTGTGATGGCAACATCGTATTATTGGTATGCCTGTCCCCGGCAGGGTTTGGGGAGTTTGTCAGGATCAAAATAAATATGAAAGGAGCAAAGCCCAGATAAAAAGTTAGAGGAAACCCTGCCTCAGTCTTCTGAATACCAAACACTGGGATAGAGTTTTCTTTTTCAGTGTGTCAATTACACATATTTTAATGCCAAAGACACACAATAATGGCTTTCCAATAGCTGTTGAGTGTTTCTGAATGGTCCAGTCTCAGTCCTGACTTAAATCTGCTTGAAATTCTGAGACAAGGGGCTGGATTTAATCCTTATCGCCGAAGTCATATCAAATTGAAATCAAATCAAGAAGCTGATTTCAGTCTCTCGGTCCCAGCTTTGATGCACCTGTACTGTCGCCAGAAGATCCGTGTTATAGCTCGATTGAAATTTAAAGGCTATGTTCCCGCGTTCGCGGAGACTGCATTCACGTTAAATGCTGCAAATGTCGTCTCAATCAGAAATGAAAATTTAAAGCGGATCTTCCGTGGTACTTCAGCGATATGCATTGAATCCAGCCCATGGTTTGAATATTGCTGTCCATCAATGACTCCCAACCAAATTTACTGGGCTTGGGCAATTTTGACAAAAACAATGTGTGTATGTTGCCCTATGAGGTGTGTAAAGTTGGTAGAATCTAATTCAAAATGATTCACAGCTCTAATGACTGCTAAAGGTGCTTCCACCAAGTATTTTCTCTGAGGTTTCTCTGGGGTGTGAAGACATAAGTAATTAAGACAGCTCTGTTTTATTTATTTTTATTCATTAATTTGGAAAATGTTCTAAAATTCTTCTTTCACTTTTAAAATGTGGAGTAAGTTGTGTACATTGGTAGGAAAACAATCAAATGTAATACATTTCAAAATGTAATTTTAAGGCAGCAAAATGTGAAGACTGCAAGGGGTGCGTAGACTTTCACTAGGCAGTGTATATGTTCTTTTATTCTGACTTTTTAACTGTGTTATTATAGATTAGTGTCATTCCTTACATACATTTTCAATGAATTCAATTTCACCTCTCAGCAGTTTAAGAGTGTAATATTTGTTGTTGTTTTTCCCAGAGTTGTTCCTCTTCTATGAATTTGTAACTTGTTACAGAAAATGTGTATTTATGAACTTATAAAATGTGTGTGATGATTATGAATCACTTCAACATGTTGTATTATTGTTTTTATTGTATTTGTAATTGAAAATGTATTTACAATGTTTAAAGCTGAATACAGGTTAAAAGCAGTCAGTAATTTCAGCATTATTCAGTAATTATGTAAAGTCAGAAGTCAGTAATGATGCACATTGCAATGTTGAACAAATATTAAGACATGGTGTCAGTTGCATAGCATCTACACAATAGCACATCCTGTAATATGGGCAATTACTTAACAGTGAAGCATTTCTGTTTTGACAGCCAAATAAGCACACATTACATTGATGTACAGTGGGGGAAAAAAGTATTTAGTCAGCCACCAATTGTGCAAGTTCTCCCACTTAAAAAGATGAGAGAGGCCTGTAATTTTCATCATAGGTACACGTCAACTATGAGAGACAAATAGAGAAGAAAAAAATCCAGAAAATCACATTGTAGGATTTTTAATGAATTTATTTGCAAATTATGGTGGAAAATAAGTATTTGGTCACCTACAAACAAGCAAGATTTCTGGCTCTCACAGACCTGTAACTTCTTCTTTAAGAGGCTCCTCTGTCCTCCACTCGTTACCTGTATTAATGGCACCTGTTTGAACTTGTTATCAGTATAAAAGACACCTGTCCACAACCTCAAACAGTCACACTCCAAACTCCACTATGGTCAAGACCAAAGAGCTGTCAAAGGACTCCAGAAACAAAATTGTAGACCTGCACCAGGCTGGGAAGACTGAATCTGCAATAGGTAAGCAGCTTGGTTTGAAGAAATCAACTGTGGGAGCAATTATTAGGAAATGGAAGACATACAAGACCACTGATAATCTCTCTCGATCTGGGGCTCCACGCAAGATCTCACCCCGTGGGGTCAAAATGATCACAAGAACGGTGAGCAAAAATCCCAGAACCACACCTAGTGAATGACCTGCAGAGAGCTGGGACCAAAGTACCAAAGTAACAAAGCCTACCATCAGTAACACACTACGCCGCCAGAGACTCAAATCCTGCAGTACCAGACGTGTCCCCCTGCTTAAGCCAGTACATGTCCAGGCCAGTCTGAAGTTTGCTAGAGTGCATTTGGATGATCCAGAAGAGGATTGGGAGAATGTCATATGGTCAGATGAAACCAAAATAGAACTTTTTGGTAAAAACTCAACTCGTCGTGTTTGGAGGACAAAGAATGCTGAGTTGCATCCAAAGAACACCATACCTACTGTGAAGCATGGGGGTGGAAACATCATGCTTTGGGGCTGTTTTTCTGCAAAGGGACCAGGACGACTGATCCGTGTAAAGGAAAGAATGAATGGGGCCATGTATCGTGAGATTTTGAGTGAAAACCTCCTTCCATCAGCAAGGGCATTGAAGATGAAACGTGGCTGGGTCTTTCAGCATGACAATGATCCCAAACACACCGCCCGGGCAATGAAGGAGTGGCTTTCTTAAGAATCATTTCAAGGTCCTGGAGTGGCCTAGCCAGTCTCCAGATCTCAACCCCATAGAAAATCTTTGGAGGGAGTTGAAAGTCCGTGTTGCCCAGCAACAGCCCCAAAACATCACTGCTCTAGAGGAGATCTGCATGGAGGAATGGGCCAAAATACCAGCAACAGTGTGTGAAAACCTTGTGAAGACTTACAGAAAACGTTTGACCTGTGTCATTGCCAACAAAGGGTATATAACAAAGTATTGAGAAACTTTTGTTATTGACCAAATACTTATTTTCCACCATAATTTGCAAATAAATTCATTAAAAATCCTACAATGTGATTTTCTGGATTATTTTTTCTAAATTTGTCTGTCATAGTTGACGTATACCTATGATGAAAATTACAGGCCTCTCTCATCTTTTTAAGTGGGAGAACTTGCACAATTGGTGGCTGACTAAATACTTTTTTCCCCCACTGTACCACACGATGTTCAAACCCACTTGGAAATGCCGTCAATAAATTCTGTTTTCTGCTATTGTGGTCTTGTCTGACTTGTAATTTCAGTACAGTTAAGGCAGCTACCAGTACTTGAATGTGTTTTTATTGCTAACAATCCAGATATAGGTGTGATACAAATATTTACAGATATTTAAAAATAAACCATAATAATTTTTATTTGACTGTGAATTAAACTTCCTCTTATATTTTAACGTCAGAGTACTGGGTTGTGTAGTCTTCTTCATCTGAGCTGCTGCTGTGGCCTGCCCTGCGGTAACGAGGGTGAGAACTACAGACTCTCTGGTGTCCTGGCTTTGCTCTGAACGTGACCTCAGGGTAGCTGATCTCCACATCATCCTCACTGCTCTCTGTCTCCATGTCCATGTTTGGCTCGATGGTGGGCTTAGGAGCACACACATCCTTAATGTTCTCGTAGTCATCCCACTTATCAGTCTGAATATAGAAAGGGATTTATACAAAAAGGTTCCAAATGAAGAAGCTCGAATGTTGCTAGTTTGTAAATCCGGAGAATATTAATTGTCTTAGGCAGTCAGATTTTTTTCTAAATTATTCTTATCAAATATCTTAAGGCTGTGCGAGTTCATTTGCCTTTTCCAAACTATCAAGTGATAACATCAAGGTCCAGTAAAACACATGAAGTCATTTTCACATTTCCTTTGATGTTGTGATATCCCTTCTGCTGCTGCTGGACTGAGTGTACAACACAGGCGGCTGGTGCCACCATAATTGGTGAGGATGGGTTCATAGTAATGGCTGGAAAGGATTAAATGGAGTGGTATCGAACACATCAAACACATTGTTTCCATTTGATTGATACCATTCCATTCACTCCATTCCAGCCATTATTATGAGCCGTTCTCCCCTCAGCAGCCTCTTGTGGTGTACAAACATCCCTCTACACATTTAGCCATCAATGAGTGGTAATGAATAAGGAAATGCCTCCTAAACACAGGCTTGATGGCCTCAGGATCATCATGATACAGTTAATTGAAGGTTAAGGTTTGTGTGTTACACAAAACTATTATGTAAGATGCACCACAAATAGAATTACATAATTTACAGGATCTCTGTGTACTCTTACCTCAATATCCTGTTTAAGTAACAGTGGAGTTTTGGTTTGTTTGTAGATTTGCAACAAAGTGATTATGACCCTTCACTTCAAAGTTTCCATTCACAATGTTCGGTTTCACTTTATATTAAGTTGAACTGATATCATGTGGTTACAGAGTAACTATACAAATAATTCAAATTGAAGCAGAATTTGACTAGCTTCCTTAAAATTCCCTCATTATATGTAGGCCTATCTTAGCTGCAGTTACAGTGTAAAGCTGAATAATAACATTCTTGTGATCAAAGAAGTTACAGTGTAACTTCATGGCATAAGGGCTAATGTTTGATGTTGCCCAATGTTTTGGTTTACACATTTGTTATTACGGTTGACTGACCTTTTCCTTCAGTTTTGGCTTGGCATCCTTAGCATAGATGTCATCCTCTCTCGCTTGGTCTCTAGGACCCAAGCTACCCCTGGAAGACAAGTTGTGTCATTGTATGCGTTTGACTCATATTTGTTGTCTCATCAGGTTATTTCCCTATGTACGTTTTGGTCGACTACTACAGTCATTTTCACAGATGTGGTTTCAATACATTACTACATTATGGTAGGATAATATCAATTTATGATGTATTTGAGGTAATTTGTATGTAATCCCACATCATATGCATTCACTGTTTGGAATGACTGAAGAATGCTCTCTATGGTACTGTAGTACGGTGTCCATTTTAGGACACCCTCAGCCTCAAAGGGTTAGGTTTGAGCCTGGGGGTGCCCTAAAATGGATACAGTACTGTAGCTGGCAATGTGATGTGTTTTAATTTGAACCTATCCTGGTTTCATGGTCCATGGTCCTCTGTAGCTCAGCTGGTAGAGCACGGCGCTTGTAACGCCAAGGTAGTGGGTTCGATCCCCGGGACCACCCATACACAAAAAAATACATGTATGCACGCATGACTGTAAGTCGCTTTGGATAAAAGTGTCTGCTAAATGGCATATTATATTATATTATTATATTCATCTGCCTTCCAATTATCAATCTTACATCTCCTGGCCCCTGAATTGCAACGAGGCATTGTTGACTTCATGTTCCTGTGTGTGTTCAGTGTGTCCATCTTTGTTTCTGATTGGATGGCTTGGTGAAAGACTCTGAATAGATGAGATGGAATGCATTAAAAAGAATGTCAAGAATTGAAATAGTTAATTCATCCCTTCATTCATAACTGTACAATGTATATGCTATGCTCAGTCATTCATGACGTACTGAATACTGAACACTGAATGATTGTAAATAGTAAACTGTGGAGCTATAGTATATAAAGGCCTCTTTCTTCCAAATTTAACCCCTTCAACAACATTGTTCGATTTCTCTCACCTGTTTCCCACCTGATACCTTCAGAACACTGTACACAGTGTGTATGTCAGAGGTCGACCTTTAAAGAAATAACAAACAAATTGAATCACTCTGCCAAGACTGACAAGTAGACTATATATTCCTTTAGATGTTCAAACTGAGACAGCAAGTAGTGGTGATCCACAGTAACTAGTATAATGGAATCCCATTGTGAGTGAGGGAGGCCTGCTAAAATGGACTCATTGAGACTTGCGTATGTCTGCCCATCCTGACGTGTGTGTGTGTGCGTGCAAATGTGGGTGCTTATGTGTGTGTTTGTCTACAGTGTGTGCTCTTGTCCGTGTGACACCATGCTCGATGATATTACGTGCTGTCTGGATACGACGTCCTGCTGGGATGGGGATGCTGCGGTTGGGGTAGGGGCTCTGGGCGGTAGGGGCCGTCTGGCCACAGCTGATCTCTGCTGCTCCCCGGGGGGTTTGCTACTGTTGCACCCCCTTCACTCACCAGGTTCTCATTTGTGCCATTACGCCAGCCCTGATGGTGACACACACAGGCATAGGGGTACACACACACCCACAAACATGTTCAATTAACTAGGGATTTTCACACAATGAACTACAGAATAAGGGCGGCAGGTAGCTTAGTGGGTAAGAGCGTTGTGCCAGTAACCGAAAGGTCGCTGGTTCTAATCCCCGAGCCGACTAGGTGAAAAATCTGTCGATGTGCCCTTAAGCAAGGCACTTAACCCTAATTGCTCCTGTAAGTCGCTCTGGATAAGAGCGTCTGCTAAATGACGTAAATGTAAAAATGTAATGTAAATGGAAGAGAATAATGCAGTATTTGTGAAATGCAACAGTACCAGAAAACCAAAGTGAACACAACATGGTAGTTTATTTGATGTCCCCTGCTGGATCAATTTGTTTCTCTTGTGTCTGAAAAACGCAAAACAAAAAGTGACATTTTCATACAAACAGTGGTGTTGTGGTGAGCTTCTAGTCATTGCTAACTGTAGTCAATATGTATGGTTAAGAAATATATACACTACCGTTCAAAAGTTTGGGGTCACTTAGAAATGTCCTTGTTTTCGAAAGAAAATCAATTTTTTTGTCCATTAAAATAACATCAAATTGATCAGAAATACAGTGTAGACATTGTTAATGTTGTAAATGGCTATTGTAGGCTGATTTGTAATGGAATATCTACATAGGCGTACAGAGGCCCAGTCTCTCAGCATTATCAGCAACCATCAGTCTTGTGTTCCAATGGCACGTTGTGTTTGCAAATCCAAGTTTATCATTTTAAAAGGCTAATTGATCATTAGAAACCCCTTTTGCAATTATGTTAGCACAGCTGAAAACTGTTGTGCTTATTAAAGTAGCAATAAAACTGGCCTTCTTGAGACTAGTTGAGTATCTGGAGCATCAGCAATTGTGGGTTCGATTACAGGCACAAAATGGCCAGAAACAAATAACTTTCTTCTGAAACTCGTCAATCTATTCTTGTTCTGAGAAATGAAGGCTATTCCATGCGAGAAACTGCCAAGAAACTGAAGATCTCGTACAACGCTGTGTCCTACTCCTTTCACAGAACAGCGCAAACTGGCCATAACCAGAATAGAAAGAGGAGTGGGAGGCCCCGGTGCACAACTGAGCAAGAGGACAAATACATTAGAGTGTCTAGTTTGAGAAACAGACATCTCACAGGTCCTCAACTGGCAGCGTCATTAAATAGTACCCGCAAAACACCAGTCTCAACATCAACAGTGAAGAGGCGACTCCGGGATGCTGACCTTCTAGGCAGAGTTGCAAAGAAAAAGCCATATCTCAGACTGCCCATCTTAATCTTTAATTTTTATTGGCCAGTCTGAGATATGGCTTTTCTTTGCAACTCTGCCTAGAAGGTCAGCATCCCGGAGTCGCCTCTTCACTGTTGACTTTGAGACTGGTGTTTTGCAGGTACTATTTAATGAAACTGCCAGTTGAGGACCAATGAGGCGTCTGTTTCTCAAACTAGACACTAATGTATTTGTCCTCTTGCTCAGTTGTGCACCGGGGCCTCCCACTCCTCTTTCTATTCTGGTTAGAGCCAGTTTGCGCTGTTCCGTGAAGGGAGTAGTACACAGCGTTGTACGAGATCTTCAGTTTATTGGCAATTTCCTGCATGGAATAGCCTTCATTTCTCAGAACAAGAATAGACTGACGAGTTTCAGAAGAAAGTCATTTGTTTCTGGCCATTTTGAGCCTGTAATCGAACCCACAATTGCTGATGCTCCAGATACTCAACTTTTGAACAGTAGTGTATATTTTATAAACAAGAGGAGTGAAGTGAGTGTTGACAGAGGACTCACCTGTAGACCAGAAAGATGAGTAAAAGAACAAGCGGAACACAACAGAAAGAAAGGATTAGAGCGAGGACATGGAAGACACTTCCTGTGGGGAGAGAAGAGAGGGAGGAGAAACGAGACAGAGAAGTGTGTCAATATTGGACCATTGAGACATTCTGGCTACGGTCTTTGGCATGTTGTGTGGAACTGTGACTTTAAATACCAATGCCACCTATGTGTTGTTACATACTATACTGTCTTACTGTATGCATACAATCAATTTCACATCTTGAAGGATGTTTTGTTAAGGCCTGTATCATCATTGATTCATAGATTTAGGTAGCATATCAGGGGGAGAATGAAAAAAAGGTGCTATCTAGAACCTTAAAGGGTTCTTCGGCTGTCCCTTTAGGATAACCCTTTGAATAACCTGTTTTGGTTGCAAGTAGAACCCTTTTGGGTTCCATGTAGAACCTCTTCTGCAGAGGGTTCTACATGTAACCCAAAAGGGTTCTACCTGGAACCAAAAAGGGTTCTACCTGGAACCAAAAAGGGTTATTCTATGGGGACAGCCCAAAAACCTTTTGGAACCCTTTTTTTCTAAGAGTGTAGGCATCATATGAATCTCACAAGTGAGATAGAAATACTGAGGAAAAATTTTTAATCAGTTGTGAATAAGTCACACTTCTGTACTCTATTGACTTTCCAAAGTGACTGTCAGTCACTATGCACTCACGGTTGAGAAACAGCTGGACTCTTTCCGATTCTTCCCCCCCCATGTTATTGGTGGCGACACAGTAGTACGTCCCGGGCTTGTCCGGGTGGACAGTGATGTTCTGGTGATGGATGATGAAATGCTCCCTTTCCTCGACCAGCCTGTACCACTTGTAGCTGATGACAGGGGGGTAACTGTGACTGTGGCAGGTCAGTGCCACAGGGCTCTCCCCATCACCCTGCCACCTATTGGTCATGTTGTGAATGACCTCGGTGAGCTTTGGAGCATCTGTGATGGAAAATAATGGAAGAAAATTATTATTGTACATTTGAATACAGAGACGCATTTGCGTTTTCCTTGTGTTGAATTGTCTTTAGTTATAGTATTAGAAGGAGATAAGTTCAGGCTCCACACAAATAACCACTTAAGTCTTTATTCCAGAAAGTCGTAGAGGACCTGAACCCATTTGAAAGGATGACTCTGATCCCAAATGTAGATCTGAGAGGATTGCAGTAAACAGTATGGTTAATCTCCCTCCATTTTGCCCTCTGATAGGCCAGGTGGAATTATCACCTTACTGATAACGCCTATTCAGTCCTCTCAGATCTACATAGGGCATACAGTTTGTCCTTGGGGTAGTTGTCATAAAGCAGCAACAGAGATGTACTCACACTTGACTTTAACTTCAACCTGTTGGGATTGCCCAGTTCCTAAGGTGTTCTGGGCAGTGCACCTGTACAGTCCACTATGGGATGGGGTTATGGACATCACCGTCAACTTCTGGACCAGCCCCACTATCCTGGTCTCTCCTGTGCTGATCTGGACCCAAGTGTAGGTGGTGGTATTGGGGTTGGAACGAGCAGTGCAGGTAAGAACCAGCTGGCTGTTTTCAGTCAGGACCGTGTCAGGGTGAGCAGAGGCCGTCACATTTTTGGGGCTGTCTGTAGGAGTCATAGCAGAGAGAAAGCATCACGGAAAAAAGTTGGAAATTGAATATTTTTGACTATTTAATCATAATGATAGTAGAATGATGATGATGGTGGTGATGGTGATGATGCATTGTACTCACAAGTGACCTCCAGCTCCTGCTCTGTGCTGCTATCCCCCTCAGAGTTCTGGGCTCTACAGGTGTAAACCCCTTCTTGCAGGAATGTGACATTAAAAGAACCCCAGACAACATTGGTAGAACGTTGGAGGAACCCAAGAACTGGTTGAGGCTGCATGTGAAGAGGGGAGCTAGACATAGGTGAGCCAGATGGACGGGGGATCCATGTCAGAGTGAGCTGAGAGACTGGGAAACTCTGCACGGTGCAGTTGATACTAACCAGGTGGCCCTCCTGGGTTGTACGCATCATAGAAAGCACTGGTTTGGTTGGGCCATCTGTGGAGAGGAAATAATACTCACATTGAAATAACCACCTATTCAAATGTTTTATTGTACCTATTCAAATGTTTGTCAGAGGACTGTAGATACAATATGCATATTTCAAATATGAACACAAACATAGAGAATATACAGGCTGCCATTTAGAAAAGGTAATCATGAATAAGCTAGCCAAAATATCGTATATATTATCTATTAATCTATTAGCTGTTATTTTTGAGAGGGGACAATAAGAACAATAAGAATTGCATTTCCCTATGATACAAAACGTATGTCTGGACTACACAAATAGGGAATATCTCACATTTAACATTGATTGTAACAACGTTTGAGTCGTGAGTCCCATGTTGGTTTACAGCTTTGCAGTGGTAATTCCCGCTTTGTGTAGATGTGATAGATTGGATCAAGAATTCTGTTCCACTAAATGTGGTATTTCGACTGTCTTTAAACCAGGAGTATGTAGCATTGGGGTGCCCTCTGCTGGAACAAGTGAGGGTGACAGACTCTCCTTCCTTTACGTATGACAAACTTATATCAGCCTTCGTCTCCTTAGGGGCATCTTTTAAAGAGAAGACAAAAAAGTCAAGTGATCATAGAAAAACAAGAAGCACAAAAGTCAAATCAAAATAGTAGGGTAATTTCTTTGTAATAAAAATGGTTGAAACAAAAATAATGCAATGCTCATGATAAGTCCAACCAAGGGCTTTATTCAATTTGTATCGCTGAAGCGTTACAGATTGTGCAATATAAATGTAAAGGTAAATTACTGATTGAGCCGACATATGCAGCATTTACTGTGAATGCAGTGTCTGCTAACACGGTAACATTGGCTTTGAATTTCAAACATGCTGTAATGCTGAACTTCCGTGATACGGTAAACACAGTTTGAACTAGAAAGTCAGTAATGAACTCACATTCAACCGTCAGCTTGATGCTCTTGCTCACACACGGGTCTTTGGTCCCTTGTGGTTGACAGGAAAGCACCCTCCCATCATCCTGCCAGCGAGCATTAAAGTTGAACACAGTGCTTTTTCGGTTATCCTTGGAGTTCTGATGAAGCGTTTCGGTCTGACCAAGCCCTGTGAACTCTGGGTATGATCCACATGGCAGTGACGTGGAGCATCGAATGGTCACAGGCTCAGACTCTTTGACTATTGATGGGTTCATCTTCTCAACACTAACCTGGCATGGATCATCTGCAGTGGCAAGATATCAGACAAAGACTCTGGATTATCATTTGAACACTATAATGTACATTACAAAATGTAACAGGGTAGAAATCTTGAACACACCCTTGCGCCTCTGTCAATCCAAGGTACTGTATATTTGGCAGTAAGACCTAGGTGTGTTCAAGATCTCTACCCTACTACAAAAAATATAATGTACACTAATATATATTGTAACAGGTGCAAACATGTACAGACAACACTGTCAATCAAATAGCTGTGATTATTTGTATTATTATTGGAAATTGATATCCAGATGTGTCTGTAAGGTGAACTTGCCTTCAACTGTAAGATTCAGAACTTCTTCTGTTATCCATTTTCCGTCCTTTCCCTTATATCTGAATTTGTAGATCCCACTGTCGGTCTTTTGCAGGTTGTTGATGAGTAGGCTGCAGTCGCTTTGTGTGGCCGGTCCAAAATTCACAGAACCAATGTATTTTACTCTGTCTGCAAACTCAGGGGCAGGGTTTTGGTCCTTTGTGTTACTGTTTACAATTGTACCAGTGAAATCTTTAATGACGTGATTCCTCTTTGCATTTTTTATCCAAAACCATTGCTTTTGTTCATTATTCATCCACTTAGTGACAGTGCATTCGACTGTAATGCAGGAACCTTCCTTTGCGGTCAAGTGCTCTATGGTTTTTTTGAATGGTATTTCAAGTTTGCAAAAGGAAACTATGATGGACACAGAGGAAAGCAAGATTAGAATTGTACTGTTTTTTTGTATGCAATTTTCATAAGTATATGGTACATTTTAACAACGCTTAGTACACAACTCAAAACAGATTATCAAAAAGGTAGTTTCAAAACTCCAAACACATTTTCAATTGACTCACTACAACACACAAAATCATACAGTCACTTTTTCACCAAACTTAATCAGTGTTTCATCTAGAAAAACATGTTTCACAATGCAATACATGTTCATAGAAAGTAATTGCTTTTCACAATGCAATGCTCACATTACTTTTGATATGATTGTCTTCTCATTTGTTAAAATACATTTCACGATTACTTAATCCGACTGCTCTTCATTTATAATCACTTAACCGTTTGGTAAACCTGTTGTGCTGCCATCTTGTTAGAAGGTAACAGATTTATTTTATTATAGTGATTAAGAGTGACTTTCATTGTGTTCCATGCTGTTTAGCGCCCCCTAGTGGAGCTTTCTGGTACTTAGAATTATGTACGAAAACCCGGAAGTAAAGTTGTTATTATGCACGCGACAAGCAGCTAGACCAACGTTACTGTACAGTTCTTTCAGTGCAACTATTTCTTGTTACGCTTCAGCCTCGGAAAATATTTGTTTGTAAGTTCAATTCAAGCATATTGCAAGTGATGATAATATTGTTATTGACAGAATTGCTTACTTATCAAAGTTAATTGGTTACATTTACTCACGCAAATTGCATTGACTTTCATGGATGCCGTTAGCTGTATTAGTTTGCTCGTGCGTCATGTAAAAGAAGTGTAAAACATACTATAGTTTGTTACTGTTTCTAGTGTAATATGCTTTATTATTGTACAGAGGTGTTTGTACATTATTAGAGTAATGAAAGGAGTTGGCTAGTTGTTACTCATAGAGTAATTATCTATTTAGTTGTCGTCATGCCAGATATATGGTAACTTGGCACTTGCTTTGTATTTATGCAACTTTCAACTTGAAATGTATAATGTACAGCTACAGTATGTCAATGTGAATTGAATACTAAAGTATATTATTTTCTGTATTTGCAGTTTCACAACATAAACGTTTTCAATACATTCGTTCAAGAAAAGTCACGCCTTGGAAGTTTTATTGAAGACTCAGTTGTTAGCTATCTGTCTAGTTTTGCACGGGAACGCAATTCCAGGGCAGAATACCTGTAGATTATAAATTGGTTTGTCTACTACAGATTTCGAGAACTACATAATGAAAATGTATGTTTGTTAAGTATAAACAATTAAAGTGTGATACTGTAATGTACTATTATGATGATGACTGTTCACTGTAAGTAAAAATATCTGATATTGACAAGATCAGAGATGTACTGTATGTACAAAATGCATCCCCTAAACCGTAAACATGTATCCAAAATGAAGTTGCTGGGGTCTTTTTGATGGGGAAGGGTCACATTGCTTTACTAAAATTGCATTGGCCAATACAGTACTGTAATATATGCCATTCAAGTAGCAGGCGATTTTATCCAAAGTGACAACAGTGAGTCCACAAATGTTCTTATGTGACCCCAGTGGGAATCGAACCCACAACTCAGATGTTGCTAGTGCCATGCTCTTACTAACTGAGCCACAAAGGACCACCTCAATACATAAGTACACTACAATACTGTAAAATACATGATTACAATACAGGTGGAAGGTGTATGATGGCCATCCCTATGAGCGTGTCACCCTCCTTCAGGCCATGGATGAGGCATGCAATGACATCAATCCAGATCTACAGTATGTAGGGCTTAGATTCGTCATGCCTGAAGGTTTTTCCCCAGGTGCTTGAACAATGAGGACATCTGCTGTGATGTTGATGAGAGCCTATGGCCAAATGCTCAAGACAGACTTGATGGAAACTAGCTCCTGTTATGTTTTTATAGTGTAATTATATATTAACAATGCATACTTTTCTTTGTATCAATGATTGTGAAAGATGTCATCAATGATCACACCTTTGATCACACATGAGATAGAAATGATGGAAATTAGATTTTCAGTCCATTTTGATGGATGTGAAAACGTACTGTAATTTACAGTACTGTAGCATATTACATTCAAAAGGCAATTTTGAAATACAAAACATGACCAAAAGTATGTGGACACCTGCTCGTCGAACATCTCATTCCAAAATCATGGGCATTAATATGGAGTTTGTCCCCCGATTGCTGCTAAAACAGCCTCCACTCTTCTGGGAAGGCTTTCCACTAGATGTTGGAACATTGCTGCGGTGACTTTCTTCCATTCAGCCACAAGAGCATTAGTCAGGTCGAGCACTGATGTTGGGCGATTAGGCCTGGCTCGCAGTCATCGTTCCAATTCATCCCAAAGGTGTTAGATGGGGTTGAGGTCAGGGCTCTGTGCAGGCCAGTCAAGTTCTTCCACACCGATCTCGACAAACCATTTCTGTATGGACCTCGCTTTGTGCACGGGGGCATTGCCATGCTGAAACAGGAAAGGGCCTTCCCCAAACTGTTGCCACAAAGTTGGAAGCACAGAATCGTCTACAATGTATGCAGTAGCGTTAAGATTTCCCTTCACTGGAACTAAGGGGCCTAGCCTGAACCATGAAAAACAGCCCCAGACCATTATTCCTCCTCCACCAAACTTTACAGTGGGCACAATGCATTCGGGCAGGTAGCATTCTCCTGGCATCCACCAAACCCAGATTTGTCTGTCGGACTGCCAGATGGTGAAGCGTGATTCATCACTCCAGAGAACGCTTTTCCACTGCTCCAGATCCAATGGCGGCGAGCTTTACACCACTCTAGCCGACGCTTGATATTGTGCCTGGTGATCTTAGGCTTGTGTGCGGCTGCTGTGCCATGGAAACCCATTTCATGAAGCTCCCGACGAACAGTTATTGTGCTGACGTTGCTTCCAGAGGCAGATTGGAACTCGGTAGTGAGCGTTGCAACCGAGGACAGACGATTTTTACGCGCTACGTGCTTCAGCACACAGCGGTCCCATTCTGTGAGCTTGTGTGGCCTACCACTTCGCCGCTGAGCCGTTGTTGCTCCTAGACATTTCCACTTCACAATAACATCACTTACAGTTGACCGGGGCAGCTCTAGCAGAGCAGAAATTTGATGAACTGATTTGTTCGAAAGGTGGCATCCTATGACGGTGCCACGTTGAAAGTCTACTGACAATGTTTGTCTATCGAGATTGCATGGCTGTGTGCTCGATTTTATACACCTGTCAGCAACGGGTGTGGCTGAAATAGTCGAATCCACTAATTTGAAGGGGTGTCCACATACTTTGGTATATATAGTGTATGTATCTTGCATCTTTTGCTATTGGATTAACTGCTTGTTAAAATAACTAAATTGAGAAGATATCATTATGTTATGTTTGAGTGATTAAATCAATGTTCCCATGGTATTTCACAGTGAAATAATATTTGGACTAAATGTTGTATGGTGAAAGATATGTCCAAACAAAATGAATGCAAAATAAAAGGTTTTGAATACACAACTTGGTGCGTTACACAAGCGTTACCAGTTTGGAGTTTTGTACTAAGAGTTTTGAAAATTCACCTCATACTTAAAACATAGCACCAAAGCAATTGAAACATTTAGAAAATGATATGGTCAAAAGTTTTGAGAATGACACAAGTATTGGTCTTCACAAAGTTCGCTACTTCAGTGTTATGAGATATTTTTGTCAGATGTTACTATGGTATACTGAAGTATAATTACAAGCATTCCATAAGTGTCAAAGGCTTTTATTGACAATTACATTAAGTTTATGCAAAGAGTCAATATTTGCAGTGTTGACCCTTCTTTTTCAAGAACTCTGCAATCCGCCTTGGCATGCTGTCAATTAACTTCTGGGCCACATCCTGACTGATGGCAGCCCATTCTTGCATAATCAATGCTTGGAGTTTGTCAGAATTTGTGGGTTTTTGTTTGTCCACCCGCCTCTTGAGGATCGACCACAAGTTCTCAATGGGATTAAGGTCTGGGGAGTTTCCTGGACATTGACCCAAAATGTTGATATTTTGTTCCCCAAGCCACTTAGTTATCACTTTTGCCTTATGGCAAGGTGCTCCATAATTCTGGAAAAGGCATTGGTCGTCACCAAACTGTTATTGGATGGTTGGGAGAAGTTGCTCTCTGAGGATGTGTTGGTACCATTCTTTATTCATGGCTGTGTTTTAGGCACAATTGTGAGTGAGCCCACTCCCTTGGCTGAGGAGCAACCCCACTCATGAATGGTCTCAGGATGCTTTAC